AATAGAAAAAAATTGTTCTTTTTATTTCACATAATAGATGTGGAAGTGACCATAGATGACATGTATTACTCTCATCCAATCTTAGTAAAAAATTGGCAAACAATGTAATGTAGATACCAACACAGACCATCATTTCTGAAAGTGTTCCTGAATGCTTTTCTTTTTTTTTTTAGGAGAGAGAAATCAAAAGCTTGTGTAGTAAGAGCTGCAAATCGATTTTGGTATCTCTGGAGATAGCAGCTTACTCTGAACATAAAATCGAAACACAAATGGTCATTCAAAGCACTAGCAATGGAAATTCTTTATTTTATTAACTTTTGGTAACAATACTATCACATTTAGAAGTTCATACAAAAATATATTTAATGTTAGATCAGTCCTTAGTAGAAATTAGCACATGCCTGGTTGTTACATTAGATATCTTTATGTGTAAATAGAATTTTTGGTTTAAAAAAAAAAAAAGTGCCGACTTCTGGTCCTAATTGTGAGATACCAGTTTCTTTGAAAATCAACAAGTTGATCCTTTTTAAAACCTTTCTAAAAACCATTTTTTGAGACTTCTAAAAAATTGCAGAAATGGTGTTTTTTTCACTTTCAGAAAAAGGTCACTGGTAAGAGAGAGATTTGAGATGAGAATTTTGTGTCATCTTTCCCTTGTGAAAAGTTGTTAACTATGTTGTTATTTTTCGGTGAAAGAAGAGTAGCTCTTTCGCATTTACTCCAGAGTAAGAGCAAATCCATAGGGATTACTGTGGAGCAACTGATGTGCTGTCGGATCACATCCCAGCTGACTCCTCTGGTACCTTGCTTGCTCATCCATGTGCATTGCGATAGAGGTCCATGATGTCTTTGCCTGTGAGAAGTAAACTGCTAAATAATTAGGCAGTTACGTGTCCAAGCATATGCCATGCCATTATTTCTTGTGGCCATTCTTGGGCTGCCAGGTAACATTATTATGATCATAGAGTTAGCTATAGTGGTATCTTTCTGCAGCATAGACTGCTGCAGTTGCGTTTGAGAGCTTCCACACTGTCCCTGGGAGGCAGAATTGAGGAACTGGTGCCTTTCAGATGCACTTACTGCTCTGCTGCTGGTATGGGTGGCTTGCCTTTATATCATCCTGAACAGTAGCTAGTAGAATTGCATACCTCAGTTATCCTAACACTCCATATGCTCTTTATGAGTTACAGATCTTTAAATATGTGCGCACAGACTATAATGTGGAGAAATTTAGCTCTTGAATGTTACCTGAATGTTGGAAAATGTTGATTCTACTTGAGGATGGGTTAAGTCTTTGCTTTCTGAGTGCCTGAGCAGAAATTGCCTGTCTCTGTTACCTGGTTGGTGCTTTTGGCCCTACTCAAGGGTTAAAATTTCGAAAAAATTTAGAAGATACACACAGCATGTCTAATGACAGGAAGAGTGAAGTTCTTCCCTGTTTGAACTGAGGACTGAGAAATCTGTGAGGAGGGGAAGAGTTTTGGATCCAAGAAACTCTTCAAGCTGGGTTTGAAAGTCTCTATGAATTTCCACATCCTGGTCTCTCTTGTGCAGAGTGCCTCTGTCTATAAGGAAGCTTTAGGGTGAGGTTCTTGGGGCGCTGTGAATGTTGTTGTCAGACTGTTCCTTGGGAGGGGAACTTTGAAGCCGGGAGGTGGATATTATGCTTCTTTTCAGTCTACTTGAAAATGCACTATGTGCGTGTTGATTTTTTTGTACATAAATTCTCCATTTCCTTTGATTTCTGCGAAGGGTGATTTCCAGCAACTTCCAAATACCTGGTAAATTCCAAGGAAGCAGAAAGATGATGGGGAAAGTGCTTGAGCCTGGAGGGTCCTGTTAAATTTTGCTGTGAGATTATTGACCGTTAGATTAAAAGCAAATGGAAGCGCAGGAAGAGATTGACTTGAATTTGTGCTGTCACTGAGAGTCAATTTCTGTTCATCAATACTTCCCCTCGCCAAACTGGGTGCTGGGGTTGCTTCAGCTAAAACATGAAGCAAAACTCAATAATGACAAGTGTGTGTTTGAGTCATTTTATTTCAGTTCATTTCATAGTTATTAAAGTAGCAGAATAGGAAATCTAATTGAATGTTTCAGGTATACTTGAGCTTTGTTATATTACAGGAATTACATGTACTTCTTCTTTTTAAAATTAAAGAGATAACTGACGTGCTCATTAGACTACTATTAACTGTGATTGTAAGGGAAACTGATAATGTTACTTTTAAAAGTGATGACTGCTTTAAAAACATGATGCTTTATATTTGTGTGAAAGTAAATTATCATATTTATATCTATAAATACACAGTATAATGCTGACCATCTCCTTGATTAGTGTTTTTATAAGATCCTTTTCTAATGGGACAGTGTCCTGGAGAGTGCTGTAGTAATTGATATAAATTTGTGAACTTAAAAGCTATTAATATATCTTTTAATTTGCCAGATGAAATGGATGCAATCAAATATGCTTTTATATTGATGTATACAGAATAGCCGTATAACTGTTTATAGTCTCATTTTTCTACTGGTTATTTGTGATCGACTGAGATAATTTTTGTAAATGTTAATATATGATCTTTTTTATGTGTATAGTGGAGTATTGGGTGTGAGTTTTTTTTGTAGGATGTGTGAAGGTGAGTAGTTTTTAACTATAAACATTTTGAAGTGGGATTCTAAGTAGAAACCGTAGCATAATGCAGATCATCATAGTTTTTCACCATGAGACATAGGAAGTTCTATCTGTTATATTCAGAGTGGTAGTGAAAAGTCTAATAGCTGTTGTTTTGGTTTACCTTAGTTTTTTAAAAATAGATGCTATTTTATTTAAAGCTGGCATGGAAACAACTAACTGGGAGGCATGTTGGCAACAGTTTTGGAAACAGTTTCTTCCTCCTTTGTGCAGAGTAGACGGTGGTTGTGAATGTCACGCATGTGGGCAGGCTTAATATTTCTGTGATTCAGAGTGAGCTTATCACTCCTGGCAAGAAAAAATTGATTGCCGTAGATGTGAAGAGGTTTAGTTTGAACATAATTGAAGATGAACTGTGACAAATCTTTCATATTAATTAATAGGAACAATTTGTTGCGACAAGACACACCCCCCCCAAATTAGCTGAAAATTTATAATTGAAAAAGAACAAGGATTGACTTAAAACTTAAGACACTTCAACACACTAAATTAACGTAATTAAAATAAATGAGAACTACATTTGGCACTCTTCATTTTAATTATGCAAAAGATATATTTGCATGTCGCTTTGTGTTCATTTGAGCATGTTGTATGTTAGTTCAGGCACTGTGGATATTATTCTGTCTATATTTTTAGAGTAGAAACACTATGTTTAGCAAAGCTTAAATAATTTTCGAGAATTTCACAAATCTCTTCAATGATCTTAAAGCAGTGTTTAGTCTTTTATGTTGTTTTGGGAAATTTAAAAAAAAAAAAAAAGAAAAGTTGAAAATTTCAGTTCCACATTTCTAGTCTAGCTATTTTGAGAAATGTGTGTATCAACTTTTAATTAAAATATTTAATTTGAATTTATACAGTCATCTTAACCTGACTTTCTGGGAAATCTTGTTGTAATAGTATTTTGATAGACAGGGATTATTACTACTTGGTAGAACTTCGTGTACTGTCTCTTTCATGTTTCTGCTGCCACAGCTTATTTGCTTCTTTAATCTGTTTTCTATAGCGATGGCACACTTCTTTAAATAGTAATATCAGAGGGAAAATGGAAACATTTAGTGTGGGAAGTACACAGAAATACGAAGTTGAAATAAAAGGGGATATGTACTTTCAAATTTGGCACAATAGTATTTTCCAGCATTTGTATCCCATCATTTGGGAAAACCTGTTGCATTTATTTTGATGTACAGTGTATTGAACGTGATTTCTTGTTTACAGAGGCTTGTGATATATTAATGGAATAAAAAAATAGAAAGGTGCCATTTACAATGCATTTTTGTGGTTATTTTATAAAAGACTTGTCAGAAGTTGTAATTTTGAAATGAAGATTTTCAATGTTATGTTTTCAGTGTAGCTCGATTTCGTTAGAGAACATGTCTTTAGTGATTTGTGCTGCGAAGCGTCTGTGGACAACTGCCCACAAGAGAGAATTGCTGTTCCCTGGCAGCAGTGTGCGATCTCGGTGGGCTGCTCAGCTCCGCAGCACCCGGCTGTCGTCCAGTCAGACTGGGCGCATCCACCCCTCCACCTGCGCGGCTGCAGCCGGGGGCCTGCTGAAGGGGTGCCCGAGGAAGGGGAGGACGCTCCGGTCTGTCAGCTCAGGAGTACGGGGGTAGGGGAGGAACTGTTGGCGTGGATTGTGTGGCATGTCGGGAAGAATGGAGAGTATTGTCAGGAAGGCTTCTTCATGGTACTGCCCTGGGATAATTTGTGTAAGGCAGTCAGGATACAAATCCATGGGAGAATGTGTTTCATTCCGATATGCATTGTTAGTGAAAGTGTTAGCTTGCAAGCGGAACATACTGCTACCCGACTGGAAGAACAGTAATAATGTTCAAGTGTTGTGTACACTTCCAGTTTATTAACTGGATTTCATTGCTGAAGTATTAGGCATTGATATAATTACTCCTGTTTTCAGTTTCTTCAGCACTTCAACCTGATGAATATGGCAGATTATATATAATAGTAATTGCGTCACAGTTTGAAACTGTACAGAGACTATGTAACAGATTTTTTGTTTACGAGTGTTTTTTCTTTGCATTCATAGAACTGGAAAGTAATATGATGAGAATCGTGAATTCTAAAAATTCTGAACCATGGAATATACCCCTTCCTGTGGAATTCTGGAAAGGAATTCCAGCAGCCACAAAGATTTCACTTGTGCATTAACTCTGCTTACTGAAAACACTACAAAAACATTTTTGCTCTGACATTATGCATTTTTATTTATCTCTAGTATTCTTATTTCTTTCCAGATATTGATGAATGAAATAGCATCTAATCTACTTATTTTCTTCTCTTCCAGGCTGCTGAATCAGGAATAATAAAAGTGAAAACAATAGCTGCACGGAACACTGATATTTTGGCAGGTAATTATTTGCAGTGCAATAGTTAAAATAAACTTGGGTTACAGATAAAAATCTTAAAAAGATGTCTTGGATATGTGTAATAATCCTACATGTCTTTTTGTGTGTGATATGTCAGTGATGCTTTACTTTTAGGCACCTGGCAAAAAAATCCAGTAGAATGAGAATTTTTTTTAATACTACGTCTGTTCCATGTTAATGCTATATTGATGCTGAGAAAGGTCTCCATTTTCAGTTGTGGCTCTACAAAAGTAATCACACACTTAGAAAAATAGCGTGAAGTACTTATGCTCCAAATTCACAATGTTTTATTCACTGTCTACCATCACCACAGCTGTTGTTGAGTGCTCTGTCTGGAGTTCTGCAGTATGATCCTCATCTGTGTGTATAGTATGAGAGTCTAGCCTTTGGAGACTTGACCTCACAGGCAAAAATCTGTCTTAATCTGAGACAAGGTCATTCAATTTAAGATGTACCACTGCCTTGAGGGACAGGAGATATCTTGTGAGTTGCAGCTTTGTTAGTGCTTAATACAGTATCTCTGACTTTCTTCAGCTTTATTAAATAGCATGTAAATTGATACCTTCTTATCAATTGCTGGTAAAGCCTTTGGCCAGATTTGAATGTCCCTGTATTAATACTTGAGTGTGTACCCCAGCTGCAGTCAAAATCCTTAAAACGTAAATTATTCGAAAGGTCCAAATGAAATGGACGTAAAACTATTTGTTGTTTTGTGGTATGTAAATCAGATATTGGTAAGGAGGCACTTTGTAGAATTATTTGAAGTAGCAGTTCCACCCCTCAACATTTCACTTTAATGCCTCTTTTTTTATTTGTTTATTTTCTTTGTTTTTACTGCTGTCATGAATGCTGACATAAGTGGGAAAACTATGCCAGGTAATGTCAGCTATATCAAAATACAAAATGAACAAGAGAAGTCTCTAGTTAGCCATTTGGGAAGCTGTCAACATTTTTTGGTGTGTTACTGTGTAAAGAACTTCGTATTTTAGAAAGCTAGTTTGTAATCTTGCGAAATTCTTTGGTTTTTAATCTTCATTTCAAAGTGAAGATATGTGAAAGATCATTGATTTGAGGCAGAGATAGGCAGTCTTTACTTTTATCACTTTGAGGGAACACTTTCTGGTAGTTGGTCAAATTTCGTAACTACTTTTCCTTTGAAAGGTTTAAGTTAGAATGTAGTTAGTATTTATTTCATTCATCAAAACAACCTGCGCAGAGTTGTTGTTATGAGGTTCAGAAAACCAGCAAGTCCCAACAGTAATTTTGAGTCGTTAATCTTTGCTAATAGGATAATAACTTTTTTCCCAGTAAGAAACTGTGGAACAGAGGGAAACATGTACTTTGCCTGCACGTTATCCTGACATTCCACAGTTTAAACATAATGTCATTTAACAGTCCCAATTCTTTATGGACTCTTGTATTTCTTGAGGTATCAGTTGTAACTTAGTCTTGTAGATAAGTTAACATCAAGATCTCTGTTGTCTCCCATCTGCTGTTTAGATTTTTTTGGAGGAAGATAGTATGTATACTTTAATAAAGCTGCAAAAGGCTAATGTAATTGTAAAATCTAGTGAAGTAGATACTTTTTGACTGCTAGATGATCTAGGACTGTCTACTAGACATTCTAGTAATCCAAATAACGATTTTGATCAGGATATGATTTTTCTTTATTTTTTGATGTAAACTCTTTCACTAAAATAAATGAAAACAACTGTATCACGTTGTTTTGAATAAGCTGACCTGATGCTTTCTTGAAGCATTACACTGTGTAAGATTATAATTTTTTAGGAAAATAGATGCAATCTTAAAATTTTTTATTAAAATCTTAAAAATCTTTGTTATGTCTAATGAGATGTGTTTAACTTGCCGGAACTCTGATGTCATTGATCTAACTTCTTTCTTCCTCTTGGAAAAGTTGAGCAGTTTCAAAGTCTTCATTCTTGGCAGTCTGTGCATGCTTTGTAATTTATTTATAAGATTTTGAGTAATTCCAAAAGAGAAGTCAGCTTATGCTTTGTATCACAGGAGATGAATGTGAGAAATTACCTCCACGTGGCTCCGAGATGTGTAGTTCATACTTTTGTTTTAGAAAGTCTTTAAAAAAATTTGAATTTTAATATTGCTGATGGAACGGAGTAAGTTTACTTTCCCAAAACTTCTTTTTTGATGTAGTTCGTTATAACAGATTTCTTTTTTAATATATTCTTACATAATTTTGGTAGCAAAATGTAAGCAGACCTGGATATAAAAAAATTTTTGTGTATTTTAAGATTGAAGCTAATACAATGATTCATGCCAAACCAGATCTACGAAACATTAATTTTTCAGCTTCATAAAGGAAAAATTCTTGTGTAGATCCTATTGTGAGATTATTCGTTTTAATGGATTATAGGAAAAATACTGTAAAAGATTTAAATTTTTCTTTGTCATTTATTAACTTTCCTGCCATTTTTGCCATTCAGAGCTTTATCATGAGTCTTATGTTAATGATAAATGTTTTGTGGTATCTTTTTAAAAATTTTGCTTTCTTCTTTCTGGTTCATGGTTAGAATTTAGTGGCAATTCAGAAATTTATATGAGTGAAGAAGTGTTTGCGCCCATGTCCATGTTAGAGTTGTTACTGATACTTAGAATTTTAGTAATTAGAATTTAATCAATAGTTTGTAATTAATATAGTTTGCAATTGATTTTAATAATATAAAGCTATAAGAAATATTTCAATGAAAAGTATGCTCGTACAGTAACCAGATGCTGCTATGAAAGTCTTTGTATAATCCTGTACCAAGACCAAAGGGATAAGTTAGAATCATGTAGAAATTAGATAACAAGTACAAGTTGACCTACCAATTGATTTATGATACTTACATAGAACTAGAAGAATGCATGTAGCTATCAAAGTTTGGGTTAATGAGAATGAAGAAGGCCAGCCTTAACGAATTATGGGTACTTGCCAAGAAACCATGAGGTAATTACCAGAAACTGTGAACTTAAGCAAAATGCAATATTGGCAGGGGCAGATCGCGACCACCGACTCATAGACCACCTACCCGTATTATACCCCAGACTCATTTACAGATGATTCTAAATTTTATTGCGCAGAATCGGAAATAGGGGAAGAATATGCTAATGATTTTCGGGAAATAATTTGTTTATGCATGTGTAAGCTTTATATAAGAAGTTTAATTTTGGTGCAAGGTGCGCACGCTAGGAGGAGATATCCCCTGTGCACCCGGCGCCGCAATAAAGAAGTGTCTGCTTATCTACATCCCATTGGTGTTGATAAGTTTCTTATTCCGGATTTTCCATAACAGAGTGAGCTCTCTAGACTCTATTGGCAATGTATTGAAGGTGTTCATAGACTATAAATGCAGCTTAAACTTCTAGCTCATGTGTAGACATTCAAATTAGATGCTTAAATTACATGTCCTAACTCAGAACAAACTTCCATTTTTGATGAAGTAGCCAATGTTTTAATTTTAATTTGAAAATCATGGAGCATTTCATAAGAGAACAGTATTGGTGGATATGGTTTATACAGACTATTTTAAAAGCAGATTTCTTTGCTTCATAGTTAAATTAAACTGTTGAAATCAAAGCAGATTGTTAAACAGGCAGTGAATCTATGTATTTATTCACATATATGCTGACATTTTAATTGGTTTTGGTTAGGCACTTGGTGCAAGGTCAGCCTCTGTCAACTGGACATAGAGCCTGTACTAACTCTGAAGAGGCTGATGAAACTTTGGACTGTATATGTGTTAATATCACCCTGTAAGAACTATTACCTTGTAGAAGGTTGACATCTATAATTTATACTAGCCTGTTCTTTTCGTAGAAACTTGTTAGTCATGTTAGTGATTCAGTTGAAAATATCGTTAAAATACATTTTCGTAGCTTTTACCTTGACGTTTCTTTTTTTTTCCAAATTAGTTGTAGTGACACTTAATAATAAACCCTCTTGTGAGCAAACTTCAAATTGCACGATAGAAAAAATAAAATACATTGTGTTTACACTTTTATTTGAGAATGTATTTTTTGTTTGTTTGTGTTAAGATCTGGGCTCTAAAAATGTGCGTGAAACTTTTTCATAAACATATTTCTTTTATTACATGTAGACTAAAACACGATTTATGATATTCAGTGTAAGAACACACATTGAACTTCCAACTGTGTGGAAATTTTCAGTATCTGAAATTATGATGATCAGCTAAAATCTTAAAAGTTTGCATGAATCAACAAGCAAGCCTGTAAACAGAAAAGGGCACATCGGTCAGAGTCATGCTTTCTTTTCATCTTTCAGAAATATTTTATTATTTTTTAATTTTATGAAATTTATCTTAAATTTCTTGAATTACTTTTATGGGGAAAATTTTTTCCGATGTCAGTGTGCAATGTTGTGTTCATTGTGAAGTTTTTTCCTCCTAAAAAAACAACACAAGCAAAGTTCATGAAACTTGTGTTTTCTCTTGACAAAGCTTCATTTTGAGAAGCTGCCCATTCCCACTAAAACACTGGTTGAAAAAATTCACAACCAGGTGTACGTACCCTGAGTACAAACAGCCCTGTCTTTCTCCTCCTGTTTTGTCGGTAGCATTTTGCCATTCCCCTTCGTGCTGCGTGCTTTGCTATGTCTCTCCGTGCCACACTGCGTCTTGCTTTTGAATTCGGCGCTGAGGTGAAGCAGAGTGGAAGGAGAAGGCTACCAGCCTGAGGCTGGTCACTGCCGCAAGGCAAGAGAGAGCTCTGGCATGGGCAGAACCTTACAGCTTCTTACTAACCAAATGGACACTTCAGTGGATTTGGAAAGAGAAAGTCACTTGATTGTGTAATGGAGAAGGTGCTTTGGATTTGAGCCTCAGCCAGGGTAATTGTGGAAGTGAGCTATGGCAGTCCAGTGTCTGTCTTCGTTTGGCTTTTCCCTGTGGCGCAAGAGTAAACCTCAAATTTCCAAGACTAGAGATTGCTTTTTCCTAATAGGTATGATTAACAAATTTTGCATTGTATTAAACGTTGACTGCTTCCATATCTCTTTTTGAAAGCACTGAAAGAGAACAGCTCAGAGGTAGTTCAGCCTTTTCTAATGGGTTGTGGAACAAAGGAACCAAAGATCACTCAGCTGTGTCTAGCGGCCATACAGAGGCTCATGTCCCATGAAGTTGTTTCAGAGGTAAGATCAATCTTTGTATAAATACAGGAATATTTCAGTGCGAGAAATACAAGCCTCAAACTGAAGCGGAATGCTTTTTTTTAGAAGGCTGTTTATGTTCTAATGAACACAACCTGCAAAATATTTTAGTCATATCTGTTTTTAAAAAATGGTAATTTATAAGAAAACCTTTTTGACCATTAAAAGAGAAAAAGAAAAAAAGAGATGAGGAAACATTAGTAACTTCTAGAAGGAAATTAATGAAAATTCAAACCAGCTCACTTAGTGTGCGTTCTTACACTGCAGGAACAGAACATGTAATGGTCCTTGATAATTATAATTCTTAAAGTTGCATCCACAAAATTTACTCTGTGTGCTAACATTATGTGTTATGTTTTCGTTACGTTTTAGTTTTAAAAATAAGATAAAATGGATGCGCGTTTCCTGCAACTGGAAGTATCATTGTGTTATCGTACTGCATATATGACATGTTAAGAAGCTGGTGAAAATAATACTGTTAAAATACACCTTCAATTGTGGTTCCATAACCTAAAATTACAGGTTTTTCTCTCATATAAACTAATTTTGAGAGTAAAATGTCTTTGTACTGTATCTTCTGTATTTCCAATAGAAAATGAAGTACGCGCTTGAATTTAGACTACACGTTAAGAGATTTCTGCTGTTGATTCTTTAAAAATATTTTGGGAAGCTTGTGACAATGAAATTTGCTTTATGTTCTCAATGTAGTCCTATGGTATAGACAAACAGCCAAATTCAGTTATGATATGCATTTATGAGAGTGCTATTCTTACATGTGTACACATGATATACTAGTAGGTAAATGTATTAATCGTCGGCAAAAAATTATTTCTTTGTAGGCTGCAGCAGGAAACATTATTAATATGCTTTGGCAACTCATGGAAAATAGTCTAGAAGAACTTAAATTGCTCCAGACGGTTCTTGTACTTTTAACAACCAATACAGTTGTGCATGATGAAGCACTGTCCAAGGTAAGAATTTGTTAGTGCCAACTATAGTACTTAAAATATCCAAGAGGAAAAACAGGGAGAAATTTTTCATATGAATCATTTAGAAATAATGGAAGAGGAGGGCGCTTTTTTGATTCTGTCGTGTCTCTATTGTCTTTATATCTAGACTATGAAAACAAGATTTCCTTTAGCTTCCTTTTCAATCTGTTTTGTAACTCCTCTACAGTAATACATTTCTGACTTAATGGAAACTTTAAATAAAAACACTGGTCTAATGCCTGTCCTTCTCATCTGCTAAATTTGTCATACATATGTTTTTGAATTGAAATCAGAGCACATAGAGTAGTGTAAGCTCTCACTATTAAAGCAAATATTAGAAGCAGCTGCCTACCACACTGTACTGAATCTCTTTTGGAAACAGTCCAGTTATTGCTTTCAGTTAGAACTGAAATAACTTTATTGCACAATTTTAAACATGTACCATTTTGGATATCATGTTTCAACTAAGGCAAAACCTAAGGATTCTGGTGCATATTTCTCTTTGAAGGAGCAACATTGTTTACCCATCCGTGAATTTTAAAGTTCTGTTCAAACTCACTTCGTCTTCTAGATTACATTTTACCATTTTTTCTCTTTAAGAAAGATTTTTTTTATTTTTAAACAAAATTCTAAATTGCTGTCTTTGTTATGCTCTGCCTTCAGTGTATTGGTTTAATATCACAGGGATTTTTTTCTTTTATTTGGGTTTTTTTGAGAGAGAACAGAATTGAAGAATGTTTTTGAAGGCATTCTGTTCTGGTGGAAGGTTTTCAGTTTTTCTTTGCCTCTGGTTGTAATGAAATAACTTCCTAGCTGGTTAAATGCGTGGATGTTTCTTCTCCAAGTGATAGAGGAACTGACAAGGAGAGATGCTATGCTGGACCTTGTTCTCACCAACAAGGAGGGGCTGGTGGGGAATGTGAAGCTCAAGGGCAGCAGTGGCTGCAGTGACCATGAAATGGTGGAGTTTGAGATCCTTAGGGTGTGAGGAGGGAGCACAGCAAGTTCACTACCCTGGACTTCAGGAGAGACTTCTGGTAGAGTACCATGGAAAGAAGCACTGGAGGGAAGAGAGGCCCAAGAAAGCTGGTTAATATTCAAGGATCGCCTCTTCCAAGCTCAGGAGCAATACATCCAAACAAAGAGGAAGTCGGGCAGAAATGCCAGGAGGCCTGCATGGATGAACAAGGAGCTCCTGGACCAACTCAGATGCAAAAAGAAGGCCTACAGAGGGTGGAAGCAAGGACAGGTAGCCTTGGAGGAATACAGAGAAATTTCCTGAGCATCCAGGGATCAGGTTAGGAGAGCTAAAGCCCTGATAGAATTAAACCTGACCAGGGACATTAAGGGTGACAAGAAAAGCTTCTATAGGTGTGTCAGTGATAAAAGGAGGACTAGGGAAAATGCAGGCCCTCACTGGAAGAAAATGATGGACCTGGTTACCCAGGGTATGGAGAAGGCTGAGGTACTCAATGACTTTTTAGCCTCAGTCTTCATTGGCAAGAGCTCCAGTTGCACAGCCCAAGTCACAGAGGGCAGGGACAGGGACTGGGAGAATGAAGAACTGCCCATTGTAGGAGAAGATCAGGTTCGAGACCATCTAAGGAACCTGGAGGTGGAGAAGTCCATGGGACCTGATGAGATGCATCTCTGGGTCCTGAGGGAACTGGCAGATGAAGTTGCCAAGTCACTATTCATCATATTTCAGAAGTTGTGGCAATCTGGCGAAGTTCCCACTGACTGGAAAAGGGGAGATGTAGCCCTCGTTTTTGAAAAGGAAAAAAAGGAAGACCTGGGGAGCTACAGGCCAGTCAGTCTCATCCCTGTACCTGGCAAGTTCCTAGAGCTGATTCTCCTAGCAGCTGTGCTAAGGCACATGGGAAATAAGGAGGTGATTGGTGACAGCCAACATGGTTTCACTAAGGGCAAATTGTGATCGACAAATTTGGTGGCCGCCTACAGTGGGGTTACAGCATTGGTGGTTAAGGGAAGAGCAGCTGACATCATGTACCTGGACTTGTGCAAAGCTTTTGACACTGTCCTAAATGACATCCTTGTCTCTAAATTGGAGAGACACAGATTTAAGAGATGGGCCACTCGGTGGATAAGGAATTGGCTGGATGGTCTCATACTCAGAGTTGGGGTCAATGGCTCGATGTCCAAGTGGAGATGAGTGGCGTTCCTCAAGGGTCAGTGTTGGGACCGGTGCTGTTTAACATCTCTGTCAGCGACATGGACAGTGGGATCGAGTGCATCCTCAGCGAGTTTGCAGATGACATCAAGCTGTGTAGTGTTGTGGACACGCTGGAGGGAAGGGATGCCATCCACAGAAACCTTGACGGGCTTGAGAGGTGGGCCTGTGCAAGCCTCATGAAGTTCAACAAGGCCAAGTGCAACGTCCTGCACATGGGTCAGGGTAATCCCAAGCACAAGTACAGGCTGGGCGGAGAATGGATTGGGAGCAGCCCTGAGGAGAAGGACTTGGGGAGTGCTGGTTGATCAGAAGCTTAACATGAGCCAGCAATGTGCACTTGCAGCCCAGAAAGCCAACTGTATCCTGGGCTGCATGAAAAGAAGTGTGGCCAGCAGGTCGAGTGAGGTGATTCTGCCCCTCTACTCAGCTCTCGTGAGACCCCACCTGGAATACTGCTGGAGTCCCCAGCATAAGAAGGACAGGGAGCTGCTGGAGTGGGTCCAGAGGAGGACCGTGAAGATGATCCGAGGGCTGGAGCACCTCTGCTATGAAGACAGGCTGAGAGAGTTGGGCTTGTTCAGCTTGGAGAAGAGAAGGCTCCATGGAGACCTTCTAGCAGCCTTCCAGTACCTGAAGGGGGCCTACAAGAAAGCTGGAGAGGGACTTTTGACAACAGCATGTAGTGATAGGACAAGGGATAATGGCTTTAAAGTTAAAAAGGGTAGATTTCAATTAGATCTAAGGAAGAAATTTTTTCCATTGAGGGTGGTGAAGCACTGGATCAGGTCGCCCAGAGAAGTTGTGGATATCCCATCCCTGGAAGTGTTCAAGGCCAGGTTGGATGAGGCTTTGGGCAACCTGGTGTAGTGGAGGATTTCTCTGCCCATGATGATCTTTTAAGGTCCCTTCCAACCCTAACCATTCTGCAATATTAATATCATTATTAATGTACTTAACCAAGGGAAGGAAAGACACAAAAGCAAAACAAAGCGAAGTTACAAAAACAAAGCTAGCATGTTTTTCTCTTGTCTTGTGTCCTGATCTAGAAGCATGCTCACATAATATAATTACTGGAGAATCTAATTGCTGTACTTCTAACAATTTCCTTAGTGCACATGAAAATCTAGTACATTTAGAAATATATAGTCAAATTTGGGCAAGCTCTGACAGGGGTAAGAGAAAAACATTCCTTACAGAGCAATATCCTGTAAAATATCTTGGTGTTATCCAAGGTCTGAAATTACTAGAGTTTCTCGGTTAACCAAATAAAAGCACTAATTGGCATGGGTAAAATGGTGCAATGATTTGTTTGTTTTTTTCCCCCCAAGAGTTTTTTTGAGAAATATCTGAAAGTTGTTTTTTGACATGTTGAAAAGTTCTTAGAGAAAACCAGTTTAAACCAAACGTGTTACATATTCATGTTTCAGCTTGATTGATTTAAGTTAAGGAAAGATAGACCTCTGGACTTTCAGGGTTTTCTTTATGATTGTGTTATAAAATTTTAAGCTAACATGAGGATGCCATCTGAGCAGGGTCCACAAATCACTTGCAAGAAAAAGAAACAAAAGAAAATTCTGCTTCTTCTATGACTTAGAGCATGTAGCACTATGACTGGGTGTGGTTTAGGTTCCTGCAAGTGCAAGAACACAGAGTAAAGATAAAAGAACAAGAAATACAGGTTTCACTACGCAGACAGAAGTTAGATTTTCAAAATTCATTATAAAATAAGTAAGTATTAAACTATATGTTAGAGGTAATGTGAAATCCAGTGGGAAACAGTATTCGGGTCACTGCCGCACAATGACACGTTAAAATAGGCACCTTAGGAATGATAGTAGTCAAAGCAACATAGGATTATAGAATCGCAGAATGGTTCAGGTTGGAAGGGACCTCAAAGATCATCTAGTTCCAACCCCCCTGCCATGGGCCGGGACACCCTCCACTACACCAAGTTGCTCAAAGCCTCATCCAGCCTGGCCTTGAACACTTCCAGGGATGGGGTATCCACAACTTCTCTGGGCAATCTGTTCCAGTGCCTCGCCACCCTCAGAGGGAAAAATTTCTTCCTTATATCCAGTCTAAGTCGCCCCTCTTTCAGTTTAAAGCCATTGCCCCTTGTCCTATCGCTACATGCCCTTGTAAAAAGTCCCTCTCCAGCTTTCCTGTAGGCCCCCTTTAAGTACTGGAAGGCTGCAATGAGATCACGCCAGTGCCTTCTCTTCTCCAGGCTGAAGAATGATTATGGATGTATTGTGATTTAATGTAGGAGAGGAATGGTATTTTAGCTTTGGAGTTGACTCACCTTTCTCTGATTAACTGTATAATCCTAATGTCCTCTTGACATTAATATTCATACAAGTTGTTTTCTGTGGTTGATTACTGTGTATTCTCTGTATGATGATTGTAGTTTTATTGTCACATTGTAATGTCTTCAGTTAATACCGCTTCTAGATTACCTTTGGGGAGGATTACTAAAGAGGTTTTTGGCTAGGATAATCCATAAAATTTATTCTGGTTCTTCAAATTTAAAATGATTAAAACAATTTTTATTCAGGCAACCTTTTGACAAACTGTAGCGGAAAGTATTCCTCAATCACATGTCTTGACTCTTGGCTAAAAGATGAAAATATATTGTTGTAAAGTGGTTTTTATGGTCGTGTTTGTTTTTTTTTTTTTTTCCAGGCAATCGTACTTTGTTTTCGCTTGCACTTCACAAAAGATAATATTACAAATAACACTGCGGCAGCTACAGTACGGCAGGTGGTTACTGTTGTATTTGAGAGAGTGGTTGCTGAAGATGAACGATACAAAGGTGGGCATACTTCTTACTCTGCTTGCTTGTATTAACCTGGTTTTGGACACACATCAAATATTTATCTTTTTCAGATAAAGTAGTTGTAAAAAGTCTATAGATGTTATAGAAAAATCACAGATGTTATTAATTTTTACTGTCTTTTATACATGTACTTGTATTCAAAGGTGGTGAAATACTTAGCCATTGTGTCAGTCCAAGTCAATACAGCAATATATAAAACCTAGATTTTTTTTCAAGCTGTGAGAACTGGTCTTCACGTTAGTAGTGTGAAGGAATTTGAGGTGAGGGTGTCGTTTAAGGTGAAGGTAACTTAGACTGCGGAGTGAGAAATACGTGACAGTAGTAGTTTTGAAGAGAACATTTGTTGGAAAGAAGTGCTTGGTGTTGATGATCTTTGATATTTCATCCAATGTTTATTTCTGTGGTCATGATAAGTTGCAGAAGAATTACCTGGTCCTTCTCCTAGAATCTTTTTGTAAGAACACTTAATGCCTACTTGATTTTCAACAGTTCCTTTGTCCACAAAACTGCTTTTTGTTTTTACACAGATACTGTTGACCAGCCAGTTGCAGTTCAAGGAAATAGTAACAGAAGATCTGTCAGTACACTGAAGCCATGTGCTAAGGATGCATATATGCTTTTTCAGGTAGCTTGGAAGCATATATTTATGCCTTTGCAGTTATGATTGAGTGCTTCTACATCTCTCTAAGAAATTTCAAAAATTTGCTGTTGTGATATTGACAAAGTCCTTAACCAGAGCCTCAAGGCCTTCGTATGCACATTTATTGTAATTGGCAATGATATGCTGTATCCCAGGAGGATGATTGGAAAATTAAGACAAAGTGGGCTAGGAAAATGTTTTACTATAAGTCTTAAATAGTAGCTAAGCATTCATGTCTGCATTAAATCCAAGATTGTTTTTATCGTGAGCCAAACACTGCTACTACAGTTCAGTCTTGCTTCTTACGCTTGGTGTTGTATATTAAAGTCAAATATATAATGAAAAGTAGTAGTTTTATTCATCACACCGATAAAAATCTCCTTGACTTAGCAAATTCACTGGTCTTGAGATACTTTTGAGGGCAGGAATGAACCCAATTGCTTCAAGAATACCAGCAAAGCTTCAAATTTCTTTTAAAAAGTTTTTTGCTTGATGGTTTATGTAAAAGAAGTATTTGAGGAAAAATTACGTTGAAATTGGAAAATTAGTCATTACAAAAGAGGGAAGAGGGTGTAGATTTTGTCGTAGACTCAGAAAACTGATGCCAGTACAGGACTGTACAGAGAATTTAAATGTTATTTTATTTCTTTTCAAGGATCTTTGTCAGTTAGTTAATGCTGATGCTCCCTATTGGCTCGTGGGTATGACAGAAATGACCCGGACGTTTGGCCTTGAACTTCTTGAGTCAGTCCTCAATGACTTTCCACAAGTGTTTTTACAAGTGAGTAGCTCTTGGAGGGAAAATAGGAAGTCTTTTGTTCACATGGGTAGTGAAATTTACGCTTCATTAACTTCTCTTTAATTTCGTCTGAGTACTACTTTTCAGAAGGACTTGTGGCTTTTACATTTTGGGGTTTTATGATAGAAAAGTACTGTGTGCTTTTTGTCCACTTTTTTCTATTTCCATACGCTTTATTTGTGTTTGTGCAGAGCATGTTGTGCTCTGTTTCACTTCTTCTTTTGCCTTTTATATCTCCTCCAAAGATGCATTTTCTTATCTTCCATGGTTTATGACAGCTCTGTTACTTTGTTTGTGGCATTGTTATTTCTACAAAAATATTAACCTCACCCCACTTGCAAAGCAGCAAGAATCATAACTATGAATTGTGTGGATCTGCTGCATATAAATACACCATGATCCTACAGTAGCACATTTTAGCAGACATTTGCTAAATTAAAAAATAAGATAAATAATAAATTATATATTAGTAGCCTGTTTCAGTTTGCAAGAAGAAGGGGGGTGCATGGTATGAACCTGACTATGTAATCTCATCATGCTTTTTGGTAGCTTTACAAAGGTGTCTGCCCTTCTTCCTTTTCATTTCCTGAGTGTGTAATTTATACTAAGATTTACAGGACTTCAGAGTGCTTGATCGTAAGAGTAAATGTAAATAAGATGCATAACCAGAGCTACTGGTAGCAATTAAAGTGTATCTGCTTATGATTTGTTCTGTTCTCTTTTTCAGCATCAGGAATTCAGTTTTCTTCTTAAGGAAAGGGTATGCCCTCTTGTTATAAAGCTCTTCTCCCCAAACATCAAATTCAGGCAAGGTTCCAGCACATCATCTTCCCCAGCACCAGTGGAAAAACCTTACTTCCCCATCTGTATGCGTTTGCTGAGAGTAGTTTCTGTTTTGATTAAGCAGTTTTACAGTTTACTGGTAAGGATACGTTCAAATTTTCTTTATGCAGTTCTGTTTTTCTATGTACATGCCAGTATCGTGATCAGTGATAGTATTAGTTATTTCTCGGAAACTGTTGATGTGTACTGGGGGAAGGAAAGTCTAAATATTCTTTCCCTCTTATGTGTGTTTGTGTTTACATGTAATCAACCTGTATGATTTTATTAAACATAAGCTTGTATAAATTCTCAGAGTAGATTAGCTGTTGTCTATTCTGTACTTAACTGCCTTTCAGTTGAGGTTTGGGAACCGTTTGATGTTCTTGCGTGTTTTGCCTGGCCTTAGATACTGTTGATTGCTGTGCCTTGTTAATACTTGCTAAGAGGCTTTTGACTTGGGTTGCTAAAGCTGTTGACAGAATGTGCATGAAAAACACGTGTTCAGCTGTTCTTACCTCCCAAATTTTGGATATTTGCTAAAAAAGATCTTTTTCCATTTAATTTGTTTACTGTAGCACGTGTAAGTACTTTAATGTAATGTCTGTGTGGAATTTAACTCCTTCAATGCCATTGTATACCTGGTGTTAGCTTGGCAGAGAAATTATGATTATTAGGTATGTGTTTCATATAATTTTTGAGTAAATGCTCATTGAAGGGGTGTTTTAGATCCTGTACAAAACTTGTTGCGATAGGACTACGAAGATGAAACAGAAGTTTTTTGGAGAAAATATTTTGTAGGAGGCTTTTTCTTTTAATTTAATGGCTATAAACTATATCTTTTAGGTAACAGAATGTGAAATCTTCCTGTCGTTGCTAGTTAAGTTTCTGGATGCAGACAAACCACAGTGGCTAAGAGCTGTTGCAGTAGAATCTATTCACAGACTTTGTGTGCAGCCTCAACTATTAAGGTATTAAATATATTGAGCTCTACTTTTACATAAAATTTAAAAAATCTTTTTCTCTGGTGGAAAATTCTTCCTAAAACGTCGTAAATATGTGGAAACTTAATGCATTACTCAATGCCTATTACGTAGGGGCTGAATTACAGTTACTTGAGTATTGCAAACCCTCTGTCTTGCCATTGTCAAAGGAGCATTTACCTAAAACTAAATATTATTGTTTACCTAAATATTTGCAGTTAGAATGTGCTTTTAGCCTACAGTTTGGAGAGGAGAGGAAGTTGCTGTTAAAATATGCTTTTAGTCCCTGATTTGTCAAATACTTACTATATTTTATAAAATACTTTCCAGGTCCTTTTGTCAATCGTATGATATGAAGCAACATTCCACTAAAGTTTTCCGTGATATTGTGAATGCACTGGGGTCCTTCATCCAGTCACTATTTCTTGTACCAAGCACAGGGAACACATCAGTGACACCAAACCAAACTGGTAAAGCCTTGTCCTTACTATCATTTTAGTTTTCCAGCAATTTCTTTAATAACAAATTCTGATTTGATTCAATACATACATTTGGCTTGGTACAATTCTGTACTTCTGCGTTCATTGAGGTAAAAAGCCAGCTTGAGACAAACTGGAGTTTTCAGGTCTGGTACAACAATCTACCTGTATTGTGTAGAAGATGTAGCCCGCAGTCAGCAGAGCGGTGCTCCTGCATTTGTATCTGCTTCTACAGCAACCAAGCTTCTTGGTTCACAACTCTTCCGAGGGAATTATTTCTAATTTCTGACTATAACAAATTTATCTGATTTCTGTCTCCTTATGCGGTTATTTCATTTATGGCAGTGTGAAATTGAAGTACTATGTGTTTGCTTCATCCTGGGAGGCAATAGCTAATTCTTCTCGATACTCAGGGACAAAACTGGACTGAGGAGGCCAAGAGGTACAAAGAAAAAGTTGTGTTTTATAGATGATCTTTGCTTTTTCTGAAAGCTGAAAACAGAAACTAAACTTGATTGTCTTTTCTTGCAGCCAGGGTTTTGGCATTTTGCTAGGTATACTTTTATTTCTGTAAGAAGAAATGGTCCTCCTGTTAATGCCTTTGCAGGTGTTTACATCTGAGTTAAGGCTCTCTGCTTCTTCCCATGGTTGTGGAAGCAGAGGCCTCAGCAACAAACAATATAAAAATAATTTCTAAGGATGTCTTTTGACATGCCCTCTTAAAAGAGGTAATAGGTAATCAAAGTATAATCATTATCTATCACCTCTGCTATTAAATTAATAAACATTAAAAAGCCTAGTTTTAGACTCACACCTTCCAGGGTTCACTCCTGAAGTCTGAATTCCGAGTTGGTGTTAGCATTAATAACGTGAAGAAATTTGTGTCAGTAGCTGTTGTTCAATAGCTGTCTGTATGGATGCTGATAGAAAACTTCTAGTAGTATTATTTCTGGGTTAGTTTAATCCGTTTAAGGTAAATCAAAAAAGTACTTTCCATCGTGTAACATGCCTGTATGAGAAGCCACTCGTTTCTCATGTCTCTTTCTCATGCATTTCTCTTCCTGCCTCTTTTCCTCATATGGCCATGTCTAACATGCAAACAGCAGATCAGTGCAACCTGATTTTCCCGCTGAGTCTTCTGATTATAACGATAGCCCTGTCATAGCAGGCTGTCTTACACACAGGTAGTTGGCTTTTGAGCCTCAGTTTTGCCACAAAGTAGATGTTTCACAGGAGAAGTTGAAAGCTGCATCTACTTAAGTTTTGTGTCACCTTTGTTATACTGGTGTAATGTAAGCCATCTTACCACTTTAAGGAGTTATGTTGGTATATAAAAATAGTTGTATATATCTGACTTCTCAGTGGGATCACAGAAAACGACACCAGTGTGTTACTGGCAGCATTTGGTTAACCATTTCTGGTTAGCAGTATGATTTATTGCTTCACCCTGTTAAGCTTTAATGTGTTAAAGTGTGTACATAGGCTTCTATGTGTATTCATGTTACCTGAACTTGTAGTTTAATCTCTTATTAAAAGCGAGCACACCAAAATGGCAGTTGTTACGCTGATGTTTTAAATGCTGTGAGTCTCCCTGTTGGAGACTCTGCCCTTCTCTCCCTGTTGTCTGTATAGAGAGAGTCTGAACTTGCGGTACCTACTCCTGGGTAGTACTTCTGTATGTATACAGAATTCCTTGTCCTTTTATCTATATTTTTTGGCTTCTTAAATTGAAACCAAAATTTATTCCCTCCTAGCTGTTGGTTGGCATGTTGTCAGCACTTCGTTGAGTTTTCTTCTACCTTGACATGGAAAAAATTTAAACATTGCAGTTGTTTGAGTTTCTTCTTGTGGCTTTTGCATTTCTGAAACCTTTAAAGTTTGTCATGATCTTTGTTCTTGCAATGATTAACCTTTCTTTCCTACTACTGAGTTCTAGATGCAACTATTCGAGTAATCCTTAACTTCTAAATATCTGACTGACTCTTCGCTAAAGTATATATTGTTTTATCAAGACCGTGTAAGTTTAGTTCATTCCCAGAATGTTATGAATACTGAAGTACCTTTCACAGAAACATTTTATTCTGACTAAAATAAGGCAGTTGGCATCAATCAACGGTGCCTTTTAAAGTAATTGCTTTGTACATAAGATTGTGTTTTAGGCAGCAGAGGGAGCTCAAAAATAGTTTTTTGTGTTGATGGTGTTTTTTTATTATTGAGCAAGGTCTCTCGGCTTAATCCATGTATCTCGACTTAAACGTAGGAAAGGATGTTTGCTCATCACTAAAATTAGATTGGTTAATTTTATCACTTTATTTTTCTGAACAGGAAGCAATGCATCGGGGAATACTGGCTCAGCGCAGACTAACCCTGGAGTGCTTGGAATGGGAGGAGGTGCAACTGTATTACCTGCCTTTGAGTACAGAGGCTCTTGGATACCTATTCTGAATGTAACAGTACAAGGCAGTGCTAAAGCTACCTAGTAAGTACCTCTATCTTTTTGAAAAATCTATATAACAAATGTTTTTCTTTCCAGCTTGATAGTTTAATTTTTTTTATTAGTAGCTATGGAGGTCTTCATTTCGCTGGCATTGAGGTATATTAAGGGTTTTCTTTTTATTGGTGCCATGAAGTGTTATGATTTTTTGCTATTTTGTCCGAATGGTCTGGATTCTCATCCAAATGTCCCCTATGGCTTTAGCATCTGTTGGATTTTTTTTCATAACATACTGTTGCTGTATATTAACTCTTCACTTTTAGGCCTCACTACAGTGTATATCAATTTTAGAATATCTTTTGCTTAGTTGTGTAATGGCAAACATTAGGGGCATTAAGCAAATGGGTCATCAGTGGGAGTGAAAAATAGCTTTCTTACATCAGCTTTACTGTATTTACGGTTTTTATTGAACAGGATTTTGTCGTAGATGTTGGCCAAGTTGCCATTCCAAACAGTATATTGACCTATATACAAAGGTTAGACTGTGAATACTCCTTAGAATGACCAATTATTTGTTATGACTTTGTATAATGGAGATCATGTTCTCAGTTTAGAGCTGTGAATACTACATAATTTTTGAAACAGTGGAAGTTTTTTTATATCAGTCATGACCATTGAGGGTCAATCTTTTCCAAATTGGAAGTTATTTGTACAACCTGTGAAATTTTGGCATACTAATACTCAGCAAAATCAGTAAATAGCTTGGATCTCAATACTTTTTTAAGGCAGAAACTCCCTTATCTGCCTTTGAGACAAGGAAAGACAAATTCATCCTCAGATTTCAGTAGTTTAACATGTATGTGTTGACTTGACTTTTTGTTCCAGCAGTGGCCATGAATGTTATTTTAGGTTACCTGACTGTTCTCAGGAAATGCAAGTTTTTAACAAAAGTAGATGAAAGCTAGTTCATGCTTTGGCCAGCTACTACAATCTCCTGCTTTTCTTCCCGTTTTTCTTCACTTTCTGTTCTTAACTGACTCAAGATCTGTTCTTAACTGACTCAAGAGCATTGCAGCCACCATCAGTCTTCCGTGCTGCTCTAACTTGTTTGTATCTTACCTTTGGATCATTTCAGTGGCTCTTTGATCCCCACTGAGTAATTTTTATATTCTTTTTTCCTTCTGTGTAAGATTACGGAATTGTCACTAGCATGTCTTGTCAGCAGTTTTTCTCATATCTTGTACTTTTGTCTGTAGTCCCTGCATGTAAGGAGATGACTAACTGTAACTGTAGATTTGGGTCACATCCTGGCATTGATTTTTCTCCTACTGCTGCCATTAGGTTTTCATACAATGGCCGCATCTTACACTTCTACACAATGATTTAATTGGAGATATGAATTGTGAACAGAGCTGGCATAGAGGTCTTTTTACAAGTGTGGGCCTGTCTCTTCCCAGACCACAATGCCTTGTCTTCCTCTTTACGTGAGGAAGTAAGTGTTTTTAAGAGGAACAGACAAAGACTATTCAAGACTTTTCATGACCATTCACATGTAACTGTAACAACTTGCTTCACTTATTCAGTAGTTTGCTTTCCCATCTTTGAAAGTAAGACTACATGACCTCTAACTCACAGGTACATTGTAACTATAAAACCCATTAATAGTTTTAATTAGAGCCATATATATACACACACTTATCTGTAGGTAGAGGGTGAAATGTTGACCGTTTGATTTATTTATATTGCTGCTGCCCCCAGGTATCTGAGGCAGCCATCTTCAGGAAATTAGAGGTAGTAAATGAAGCATTACATGTTTGGGACAAGAAAAATCCTTTATGCAGAAAAGAGTGGTGGCACTAGAGTATACAAGTGTCTTTGGTATGATGTAGCTGGAATGCCTGGCCTTTCTAAGAGTAGTTTGTAGAGGAAATGATGCAATAGTGGTTGTTGGGGTAGCAGGTGGTTTTTGTAACAGACTGTCTCTCCGTTGTGTACATGCTGCTGCTGTGGCAGCTACGGTCTCTTTCCTGTTGGATTTGTAACTCAGCAGTTCTTTATGTGCAATTAAGGTAAAATATGAAGAAAAGCGGCAATGAGGCTGCAGTTCCAGCATAGCGATGTTTTAATTGCATGGTTTTCAGCAATGAATCATGTAGACATTTCCTCTTCGTACAAATAACTTCCATTGTTTACCTGTGCATGTATGTGATGAATATTTGGTCGTATATTATCTAGCTATGACAGGCTTTTCCGGTTATATGGACACAAAGATAACGACAATGGAATGTCTGATTTGTTCTCAGTCTGTTGTAACTATATTCACACTGTCATGACTTTCTGACCCATTTCCTCTGTTCTTGCTATGTACTTGTGTTCTTCTGAATAGGTTCTATTGCAGTGACTTTAAAATAGTAATAAAAGTAGAAGAATTGATTCAGTGATGCTTGTTAATATGTGTTAATTTTTTTTAATATTTATTTGCAGTTCTAAATACTGTACTCAGTTTGTAGCCTTTCATTTACTATTTCATTTAGTGACTTATTTACTCTTTTGGTTAATGACTTAATTAACCAAGAAATTTTATTTTCTTGAGTTACTATAAATCTTGAAGGGTGGTATTTGGGGCCTGTTTGTACTTGACATTTGTCTGGAATCTTGTCTTTTATTGTTGTTTTTAATCTCTGTGGTACTTTTACACACTTACTTGTCGCACTTGCAATTTTTTTAGTTTGGAAATGCTGGACAAAGTAGAGCCACCTACGATTCCTGAAGGCTATGCCATGTCGGTGGCATTTCACTGTTTACTGGATCTTGTCCGTGGTATCACTACCATGATTGAAGGAGAGTTGGGAGAGGCAGAAACAGGCAGTCATACCACAACAGAGACAACTTTATTACCAGCACGGCCTTCAGAGCAGCAAGACTTGCAGTCTGTGTCTGACCAGTCGGAGAAAGAACTAGGTACTGGAAGATGGAAACACTATGTAACATACAGCAGTTTTACATGAAGCAGGATTAAAATAGTTCATGCTTTGTTGCTTAAATTTATTGTTTTCAAATCGTATATAAAAACTTTTAATGAAGTGGTTTTTGTTTGGGTTTGGTTTTTTTTGTAACCGAACAGCAGTAGCCTCTAAAAAAAAAAAATACTTGACTTGATGTACTGTTTCTGTCCTATAGCACCTTATCCGTAGACTCCTTATATCTGTTGATACTGTTTAATATGTACATATGTGGGACGTGAGGGGGAGATTACAGGCATTCTGTTCTCCAGAACTACTGTTCTGCCTTCCTGTGTCCTTTATTCTGCTTAACACTGAGATCCAAGGTCACAAGAGACAGCTTGACACAGAGAAACCGGGAAGTTATGACCATATTAAAAGAAAAATGTACTTCTAGTAACAAGATGAATGTTTTAACGGAGAGATTTTCAGTAAGACTGAAGTATTTAGGGAAAAACTTCTTTAAAAGCAGAGCTAATATGAACCGAGGAGGTTGGTTTGTGCCGGGACGCGGCCGGTGCAGGCGGGAGAGGGAGCGGCGTGTCCCGGGCGCGGCGCGCGGCGACAGCGCTCTCCATGGTGCTGCAGCGGCGCCGGCGCCGGCTCCGCCCGGGGCGGGGCGGGGCGGGAGGTGTGGAAGGGATACGGGCAGGTGACAGGTCTGTTAGACCTGTATTTCTTTTCCCTGTTAAACTAAAGGAATTTGGGGTGGAGGGGAAAGGAGGACGATAAATACGTGGGGAGAGTACTTTTCCTTCACTGCAAAATTTCAGTGAGCTTCTTGTCCCACATTTATGTGCTTCTGAATGTTTATTTTTACAGACAAAAATTAAAAATAGTAATGTATATTTTTGTAAGATTATTTTTTTGGTGTAATTCAGAATAAGCATTGCCTCGATGACATTTTTGACTTAGGCAATGTTACTTCAAATGCAGCTGTTTAAATGGTACTGGTGTGAGTGTGTGTGTTTATGCGCATATAGAATCATAGAATGGTTTGGGTTGGAAGGAACCTCAAAGATCATCTACTTCCAACCCCCCTGCCATGGGCCGGACACATATGTGTGTCTATGTAAATATACACCTAAAACCACACTTTAAAAGCTGCAGTAGCAAGCATTTTGCTTGTGATATAACTGAAAATTATTAAGTAAAATATTATATTTCTGCTATAAACAAGTATATGTATTTCTTTCAAGTTAGCAGAGCTGTCTGGGAAGAAATGGTGAATGCTTGCTGGTGTGGTCTTCTGGCTGCTTTATCCCTCCTACTTGATGCGAGGTATTTGGTCTTTCATTTCTCTTGATTTTTCAAATTTGACATTCCCAGCTATATTTTGAACTGATTTTTGATTCCGGTCAAGTTGACAGTTGTATGAAAGAGTGCTGTTCATGGCACCTGAGCAAACAGGTTTGTGAGTTAGTGATGGCTAAACTGAGCGAGGATCTGTTAAGAGTAAATGACACAGAAGTCTCCAGAAGTCTAACATCAAACTTTAATGTATTTCAGTGTAGATAATTAATTACATTTTCAAAGGCCTGAGTTTAAACTATTTAAATTACTTTCATTTCATTTTACTTTGACTGAATGTTTCAACACATTGAAGTGGTTCTACCTATGTCCTATTGCTGTTGGTAACAGACTAAATAATGTCTCAGTTCTTGTTAATACTATGCAGTAGGAGTGGAAAAGCCAGTTACTAGATCATAACTTTGGTAACTTAATTGTCTCTTTCAAAAAGTCTTTTGTTATCAAACACCATTTCCTGAAATTAGTGTTAAATATCTCCTCATAGTCTCCTTTGACAAGTCATTCAGAACTAAAGACCAATTTTATAGGAAATGATTCTGAAGAATTTTGTTGATTGATTATGCTTGCTCATTAGTATTTATAGAGTTGACAGGTTTAAAGTATATGTTCTCATTGCTTTCAGTTTTGGTTAGCTGCCTGCTTCGTGGATTAATTCTTACTAAACAATGTGTACTCTTTCAGCACTGATGAAGCTGCCACAGAAAATATTCTAAAAGCAGAACTGACCATGGCTGCACTTTGTGGAAGACTGGGTCTTATAACATCAAGAGATGCCTTTATCACTGCCATTTGCAAAGGATCCTTGCCTCCTCACTATGCCCTTACTGTATTAAACAGCACAACTGCAGCTCTGTCCAGCAAATGTAAGTATATACGTTTTCCTTAATTGTGTTTCTGTGTATTGTCCTTTAAATACAGATGTTCTCAGGATGTGATTGCAAAGATATGCAACTGTAATATTTGACTATAGTAAATTATGTTAGAATCCTCAGACAGAATCGAGACAGCCTGCTTTCAAGAACTCATTAGTCTTGCAGCATCTGCTAGGTATCATTCTAGTCAATCTAAAACTTCCTGAATGCTTAGCATATACCAGAAGTTCGTATTCTAAGGAGGTCTGTCTATCGTCCTAAAGATTTCTTGGGATATGCAATTAAGGCATTCAAATCCTGAAAAGATCTCTGGGCAACTCAGATACTTAAGTATCAGATACTTAAGAGCTGGCTAGAACATCCTGCATTTGTGGTTTACTACAGTCTTCTACAGTTGTCTAGTGATAGTAGTATTTACTGTGTAAATGGAAGGTCTTAAGTTCTGGGCTCTGTTCAGCTTTCAAGAGGTTGAATTGATGCTTCACACATCCTGAGAGAATGTTGTAACTCACAGGATATGCCAATTGAGGATGTACTCTGTTTCTAATTTTGAAAATGAATTACTGTGTACCAAGAAAGACAACTACCTAGAGAATCCACAGATGGATTTAACATTAGACCTCTTAGTGTAAAGCAAAAATACCTTAGTTAGGGAACAAGGATCAGCACCTTTACTCCAGCCCACAAGCTAAGTGTATTATTAGACCGTAAGTCTGTGAAGCAGTGCGCGTGACTGAGCTACACGAATCTCTATGGAAATGAAGCAGTGAAGTTATTTTATATAGGTTACTCTTCTTTTTACAGGTGAGTTATAAAATGGTTGTCTCGAAGTCTTGTATTGGAAAAACATCAGGACACAGCGTTTATGGCACCTTAATTTTTTGAGTACATTAGTACAATGGTACCACACAGTGATACCATTTACACACAATTACCACAGATAACTGAGTTGAGACAAATCTAATGTTCGTATCTTGGTACAAATACTTCAGTCTTGATTATAAAATGTATTAATGTATTGCAAGCAATATCTAATAGTGAGAAGGAGTAATTGCTGACTCCTTTAACTCCAAGAGGCAATGACATAATAATCTAAATTTAACTGAAGGTCTCAAAGTGAGCTACCTGGGAGCTAATACTGTGAAAAAATTTTTTGGATTGCGTTTGCCATAAGGTGGTTGTTGCTATGAGTAAGTACTGGATTTTAAATTTATATTTTTTCTCTTTTCAATTTTCCTCTAGCATATTCCATTCAGGGACAGAATGTTCAAATGATCAGTCCCTCAAGTGAGTCTCATCAGCAAGTTGTAGCAGTAGGGCAACCCTTAGCTCTTCAGCCACAAGGAACAGTAATGGTAAGTACAGCTTGTAAGTGATCTCATCCTGTTTAACTGCTTCTGCATCTCAATATGTCTCAAATATAGACAACAGATAAATAGCATTGTTACAAATACTGATTATCTGAAATATTATCCTAAGCTTTTAATTCAGAACAGCCCTGAACAGTAAAATTCTCTAATGGTAAAGACTTACTCTTGTTTTTTATCTGACTCTTAGTTCACCGGCTCCCATCCATTCCATTTGAAAAACCCTAAGCCTCAGCTCTGTTATGTGCCTGTGTGTGAAGGTTCTTTTATATGGTATTTTTAAGATAGACTCTGATTTTGTGGAGAAGATGCACTTAAAGCTGGAGTACTTGAACTTGTGTCTTTGATAATAATGTGAAACTGAGAGAAGAGGACAGTGATCAAATCATATTAGACTCCAGCAAGATAAGACTGAGAGAAGGAGAGATACTGAACTACTTCTCTAAAAAAGATACAGTGCAAACAAAATGGAATCTTAAAGCTATTTAGTGAAAAATGGCAATTTTCCTAGATGCAATATTATTGTAGAATAATAAAAACTGTGTGGTCATTTGGTTGTCTTTTTCTTTTTTTTAGCTGACTTCAAAAAATATCCAGTGTATGAGGACATTACTAAATTTAGCTCACTGCCATGGAGCTGTTCTTGGTACATCGTGGCAACTTGTCCTGGCTACTCTTCAGGTATAATGGGAAATATTTATGCCTTGCTTTTATGCCTTGCTTTTTTGCCATAATTCAGGTTTGAGTTTTTATGTGAGCAATAGAAGAATCATAGAATAGAATCATAGAATGGTTAGGGTTGGAAGGGACCTCAAAGATCATCTAGTTCCAACCCCTCTACCATGGGCAGAGAAACCCTCCACTACACCAGGTTGCCCAAAGCCTCACGCAACCTGGCCTTGAACACTTCCAGGGATGGGGCATCTACAACTTCTCTGGGCAACCTGTTCTAGTACCTGACCACCCTCTGAGTGAAAAATTTCTTCCTTATATCTAATCTAAATCTGCCCTCTTTCAGTTTAAAGCCATTGTCCCTTGTCCTATCACTACGTGCCCTTGTAAAAAGTCCCTCTCCAGCTTTCCTGTAGGCCTCCTTTAAGTACTGGAAGGCTGCTATAATATCACCCCGGAGCCTTCTCTTCTCCAGGCTGGACAGCCCCAATCCTCTCAGCCTGTCTTCATAGCAGAGGTGCTTCAGCCCTTGGATCATCTTCGTGGCCCTCCTGTGGACCCTCTCCAGCAGCTCCATGTCCTTCTTGTGCTGGGGACTCCAGAGCTGAACGCAGTACTGCAGGTGGGGTCTCACGAGAGCTGAGTAGAGGGGCAGAATCACCTCACTCGACCTGCTGGCCACACTTCTTTGGATGCAGCCCAGAATACAGTTGGCTTTCCGGGCTGCCAGTGCACATGCCGGCTCATCCACCAGCACTCCCAAGTCCTTTTCCTCAGGGCTGCTCTCAATCCATTCTCCGCCCAGCCTGTACTTATGCTTGGGATTGCCCCGACCCATGTGCAGGACGTTGCACTTGGCCTTGTTGAACTTCATGAGGTTCTCACAGGCCCACCTCTCCAGCCTGTCAAGGTCCCTCTGGATGGCATCCCTTCCCTCCAGCGTGTCCACAACACCACACAGCTTGGTGTCATCTGCAAACTTGCTGAGGATGCACTCTATCTCACTGTCCATGTCACCAACAAAGATGTTAAATAGCACTTGTCCCAGTACTGACCCCTGAAGAACACCACTTGTCACTGGCCTCCACTTGGACATTGAATCGTTGACCACAACTCTTTGAGTGCGACCATCCAGCCAATTCCTTATCCACCGAGTGGTCCATCCATGAAAACCATGTCTTTCCAGATTAGAGACAAGGATGTTGTGTGGGACAGTATCAAATGCTTTGGATAAGTCCAGGTAGATGATGTCAGTTGCTCTTCCCCTATCCATCAGTGCTGTGACCTCGTCATAGAATGCCACCAAATTAGTCAGAATAAGGTTTGATTCTGCTCATGGTGTAATTTTAATTTCCTTGAGTAAGTACTGTAGCATTTCCCTTGAATTCTATTTCACTGGAAGGCTGCTTGCTAGCTCGAGTACAGTGTCAGTTGCCTCTGTACTTGAAAAGGCTTTTCTGCTGGAAATGATTTTTTTGTATTTCAGCATCTTGTGTGGATTTTGGGACTGAAACCTGGTGTTGGGGGTGCATTAAAACCTGGAAGAGCTGTAGAAGGGCCCAGCACAGTAAGCATGATCGTTCATTTTACAGTTAATGATTATGCAGTATTCTCTATTGCAATCTATAAGACACATTTCTGTCTCTTTTTCAAGGTTCTGACTACAGCAGTTATGACTGATCTGCCAGTTATATCCAACATACTTTCAAGGCTTTTTGAAAGCTCACAGTAAGAAACCTTATCTTATAATTAAAATAATATGTGTGTTTCAAACTTGGCAGTGTTTTGATAGCTGTTATTTTTCAGATACCTTGACGATGTGTCTTTACATCACTTAATAAACGCCCTTTGCTCCTTGTCCCTGGAAGCCATGGATATGGCCTATGGAAACAATAAGGTATAAAAGGAGTTCTTTATTTTCTTTTTAGATGTTTCTGTGAAACAGGCAGAAGACTTGCGCATTTATCCTTCTAGCTAACTATTTCTAATATTAAGACAGTAATAGATGTTATAATCTAGAGTAAAAATAAATTATGAACCAGAGAATGTCTTGTTTACAGTGGGTCATATGGTTACTAAATTCTCTGAACGTTCTCATTGTGTTCCTGCTATGTTTTTTGTTAACTAAGGAATGTCATGTGTTTCTGTTAATCAGATTGTGGGTGGATAAAAATTTACAAGCCCATGTAATTTCAGAAGTTAGGGGTTCTGAATAGCACAGTATGTTCTGTGAGGTGCTCGTTTTCGTTTCAGTTTTCTTTTATGATATACTTCTAAATTGTCAGGCTTTTTCTGATATTAAAAAACCCCAGATAATTCGTATTTACTTGGGAAAATGATAGTATGCCTGTTAGCCTCAGTAAACAACCTTTAACTCAGAAAGGTCAAAGACCTTATGATTGAATAAGATTGAGTATATATTCTCCTAGTCATAATTTAATCCCAGAGGAGGGTTTTTGACAGTTTTAACTTCATCTTTTACGCTGGAGATAATGATGACAGAAAATATGCTTTATAATACTTGACAGCTACAGCAACTGAGAATGAATTAAAATAAGCGAATTTTCTGTTTAAGATGAGTTGAAAATGAGAATAAAAAAATCAGCAGAAAGGGGAACAGAGAATAATTTATGCAACAGTCATTTTGACTATATATTGATTTAAAAAAAAATCTCACAAACATTAAAAGAAGCTTATCACAAATATTTTCATATGTATTTGATGAGTGGGGAATTTTGTCATATTCCTGCAGAACGTGTATTAACCCGATGAAAGGTAAAGCATAAGGAGATTCTGAAATGAAATATTCTATATTGTTTGTTCATATATAATTATAACTTTAAAAGTTGTGATGGGAAAAACTATTTTGCTAGTAAAATATGTTATAAAACTGATTGGAGGGAGGGCTATGTAAGAATGACAGTTTTGAGAGGAATATCAGTGCTCTGGTTATTGTCGAACTTGGAGAAAACGATATGAAAAATCCTGAAAGTATTCTTCATGGTATGCTGTTGCTACCCCCTTGTGGCTTCTCATGAGGTACTGCAGATGCTGTGGAAACTTCCCAGCCATGCTGCCTGAGCTGTTTGGGACAGCGTTCACAGCCTATGGAACACGGTAGCTCAATGAGTTCAGTTGCACTTCAATTTAAAAATTATAATGCAGCAACAGGTTCTGACATTCTCTGAGTTACCTCAAAGTCGTGTGTTCAAATTCCATTTTATTAAGGAACCATCACTTTTTGCTGTTGCTAAATTACTGGAAACAGGACTGGTTAACATGCACAGGATTGAGATTCTTTGGAGACCTCTGACCGGTCATCTTCTGGAGGTAACTAATTGCTTTTATCAATTGTACTTAGTTTGTATTAACAAAGATCATGTGGAAATGCATTTTAAAAGTGTAATTTTTTAAATAAATCTACATTGCATTTACAGATTTTGGTTTACGCACTTTGTTTTTGCAAATTGAATGCATCACAATTCGAATTTAAAAGTGAATTTATATATTTAAATTCCACTATTTTAATATCTGTCTTTATGGTGCTATCAGTCTTTATATGTTTTAAACATGGCAATGTTTAAAATCATCAGGTTATTATACTGCCGATATCTGTTATAATTAAGGTAACACAAACAGATTTCACTTAGGATTCACAGAGTACAAATACCTAGGAAGATTTAAAGTTATGTTTTTGTGTCCTTACCAGATAGATTGAAGCCATTAGATTTACTAACCAAGGATTTGTTTGTTTTAAAAATTTTTAAGCTAACTTTTTGAATGGTCTCTTTAAGAGAATATTGTGCAAATATGAAAACAGGTGTAATAATCCAATTTCAATTTCTTAAGTATTTTAACTTCAACATGAAAAATATGCTCCATCAAAGAAAAAAAAAATTACATTTTGAATTTGAAACTAAAACCAGATTATGGAATGTAATTGTAAAGTTTTAATTCTCTACACAGATACGTAGAGGAGCGAAATGCAAGAACAGGGTTTGATTTTTAAAGTGGGTAAAGGAGAAAGCTTTTCTTCCTCATTTTCCAGAAAGTATCAGACACTTTCTTAGAACCAATGCATTAATTCAAACAGTATTAAGAATTGGCCATTTCTAACCTTATTTGTGGAGATCATTTCCACATAATCTTTTATCTAGGAGAAGAAATTTGGGTACTTAGGTGTTTAAAGACTTAAAGCACAAACATTTCTTTCTCTTGTCTTCTTTCCCCTTCCAAGGCAGTAAGGTTTACTGTGCACATTTTGAGACTGTGTTTTCATCTAGCAAGCAGTCTGTTTCAGTCTGTTGTCCATTGTAGGTATTTGCCACTGTTTTACAGGAAATACACAGTCTATTTCAGCTTCTTTTAAAGTACTGCCTTATTTCCTTTTAAATCTAAGTCACTAAGGTACAATAAGGAAGGATAAAACACCAGCTGCAAATTCACTTAAACACACCTGAGGGAAGAATTCATTCCCCGTCTCTGGAACTGATTATCTGGTCAGATTCAGAGCATTATGAAGTAGTTCAAATTCTCTCTTTTTTTTTTTTATATAGGGTGACAAAAATATAAGTAGTTCAGGAGAGTAGCTATTTCTTGTCTGCGTTTTTTAACATTAAGCTAGCGTTTCTGCATCTCCTTTTTAGTTTGGCTGGTGGCTGATACGGGAATGGTCCACCAACCAAAACCACCATCCTTCCTTATGATCCTGCCTGGGTCTTTGATTCTGGGTTTTCACAGCTAGGGCTGGAAGAGTGGGTGAAAATAATTATGTAGAGGTCAATGGAACTCTAGACTTAATCTTTTATTTGTTTGAGGCTACTGTATCAGATACGGGACAACAGTTCGTACTAGGTGTCTATGCAGCCGATTTGCACAATGTTTGTAATTTTTCTGTTCTGTAAAAAAGCAATTAGCAAAACTAGGAGGTTTAGATAATTAGGAGACAAAGAGAAATGAAGACACGCATTTGAAACTTAAGCTTGAAACAGTATTTGCTGCAGTTTTGTCAAGTTTTTGAAATAATGGAGTGTAAGGCTTATTTTATATTCACTATTTGAGAACATAGATGAGCAGACACTTTCCGTGTTGGCTATTGTCATGCTTCCTCACTTGGTTATGTTAAGCAGTGCATGAAGGATGAAACTTTGCATTTTATAGTAGCTTAAGGATAAGTTAAACCTGAAAGTTTCAGGCATTCACTGAAAGTTGTTTGATGCTTTTTAATCAATCGTTATCTGAATTAGCAGTTAGTATGTTTGTTTTGGAAAATGCATTGGCTTGAACTGCTGTGGTTTTCATTATGTTTCCTTCTGTGTCTTTCACTGCTTCCTGTTGCTTCCTTGTTCAGAAGGTATGTCTGTCCAAAAGATAAAAATTTTTCTACTATTAAACCTAATTTTATCATCTAGAGATTTATTATATTGTTGTAAAAATATTATAATATTGTATGTAAATTCTAATATAACGAAAATATCAATTTTTTAATATATTACATGTATTCAAGTTTTGGTGATTTGGTGTTTAAAGCAACTTTAAACAAAACGTTGCTGTGTTTTCAGGTCTGTCAGCATCCAAACTCCAGAATGAGAGAATGGGGAGCAGAAGCTTTAACTTCTCTCATTAAAGCAGGACTGACATTCAGCCACGATCCTCCATTATCTCAAAATCAGGTAAAGTAAGTTCAAGAGCAGCTGCTTTCCTCCTTTCCTGGAACTTAAAACGAACGTGAAGTCAGAATCTTCCCTAGAGGAAGTTTTCTACGGTTCAGTGAATAAGAGTCATTCATAGAGCAACTTTACCATTGAGTTTATAAAGCCTCCAGCTGTACCATTCAGATGTAACTATGAGAATGACCTCATGCATTCCGATGAACTGCCCTCCTTCCTTTTCCAAATGTGTAACAATGAGCGGTGATGCTTGTGCATTATGTCGATTCGCTGGAACAAATTGTGGATCACCTTCATGAGCGCAAAACAATCCCAGAATGTTTAGTAGTATATATGTGATGTGGTGGCAGGTAAAAAATAAATTGCCTGACCTTCTAAATCACAGCTATTCAATCCATTATTAATAAAACATTCTGATATTTTTGCCAGGGCTCAGTGGATAGTTTTTTCGAGGTCTCTTTAGTAAGAATCTGATTGTAGCCTTGCTGGGTGAGTGTAAAGTTGCACGATGGTTTTCATGCAACTGTGACAGCATGCTGTAGGTAATCCCTGAGGGACCTGGAGAACAGATGAGGGGAAAAAATTTAAATGCAGATTTCCTGCTGAGATCCTTTATAAACGGTTTTTTAGAAAGGCCAGTCTGACACTGAATTTGAGCATTTAATGAATGAGTTAATGAACTCATTTAATGAATCTTCAATTGGTACTGTACGTTTTCACTTATTGTACATAAAAATAATTAAGGATAAGTTAAGTTTTAGCATCCTTAATGTACTTTATTGTTTACTTTTAGAGACTGCAGTTGCTTTTATTGAATCCACTAAAGGAACTGTCAAACATTAGTCATCCTGATATCAGGATCAAGCAGTTGGAGTGTGTGCTACAGATTTTGCAAAGTCAGGGTGACAGCTTAGGACCTGGTTGGCCATTGGTGCTTGGAGTCATGGGGGCAATCCGAAGTGATCAGGGGTAAGTAGTGGAAAGAAAATTTTAAAATCATGTAAGACAAGAACAGTTGAAAGAATTCTACTTTTATTTTCTTTCTTCGATATCCACTTCGATAAGAGCCATTATTTTCATTGTCATTTTTAGCTTGTGAACAATTATACTCAACAAAAATGCAGTTTTTAATTTTTCCTTTAGCACACTTTTAATTAATCTTTCAGAAGACCAGAGTATTGTTCCACTCTACCTTGTCCTGTGGTCAGCATGCAGCATACACTGAATCATAGAATCATAGAATCATAGA